TATATATATACACAGATAGAGATATATATATCTATCTATCTATCTATCTATCTATCTATGAGCTATAGTCTAAACTCCTTAAAGGGGGGAATATAGGGGACTATTTAAAGTTTAGGGTTTAGGGTCTACACTCCTTAAGGGGGGTTATATAGGGGATTAGATAGGGGAGCATTATAGGGCTTATTAAGTGGGATGCTAGGACTAGGAGTTTAAACTATAGCTCAGATGTTGCAAGCAAAGGTCTCACAGGTTCGAAATGATGTCTGTAGCAATGCTGGACGCTTAAGTCCAGTCTGCCCTGACTTTCGGGCTTTCCGCTAGACAAAACCCGAGTGCCGGATGAACTAGACTGAAGCAGTTTGCATGAACTTTAAACGGTGCTGTGGGGATAAAGGTGGCCCTTCTTTCCCAAGCTCGCCTCTTCAAGGAATTCAGCAGCTCAACCGCCTGCTGCAAAGCGACGCCAGAAGGGCAAGGGGTTGGGACTCAAGAACCATACGTACAGCATACTGCCCCGCAATAGGTTAGTGCACAAAAGCTCTGACATGACTTACCTCTTGAGATTGAGCGTTGAGCAAGAAGCCCTTCACGCTGAACATTACCAGACGTCTTCTTATAGTGTTCCACAAGAGGCAAAAGGCCTTTGCAAGTTAATCCAGCTACAAGTGGATACGACGAACATGTTGGCTAAAATCTGGCTGACATGCGATCTCAGGGCCACCCTAATATAGTAGATTGACAAAATGTTGGGTCCCGATTATAATATGGCCCCCAACATTTAGGCCCTGAACCCTAAACCCTGAACCCTAAATCCTAAACCCTAAACGCTGAACCCTGAATCCCAAACCCTGAACCCTAAATCCTAGACCCTAAACCCCAAATCCCATAAGGGAACCATAGATCTGACAAGCCCCAAAATGGGAATTTCTCACACACTCGCCTGCATCATCCTGAAGACGGACTCCCCATCTTCCCCTTCTTTTCCCCAAAAAAGGCCTAGGGTTAAGGGTTTAGGGTTTTGATCCCGATGATCCACTCATTTTCCCCCAAAAGTCTTACGGTCCGATAAACCCTAAACCCTAAACCTATATTATAATTTTGCACCATGGCCTTGTCTGAATGGGCAGCTCTGGCACAGGCTTCCAAAACAGCCTCCCAGCTCTTTCTCTGGGCTTGGGTTCCTAAGATCCTCATAACATGAAATATGCAACATCAACCCTACATACACCGCCATTTGTCCACTTCATATTCCATTTGATTCTGCATTCTCTCACGAAATGCGGGGTTTCCTAAAATTAGGAGTACCATTTTGGGGGTCCCCATCATAAGGATTATAGTATATTGGGTCTATGCTGGGGTCCCCCTATGGTGGGAAACTACCAAATCTGGCTGAAAGCATGGCTCGGTGCTCATGAAGTCATTTCACACGCCTAACTCCACCTCACCTCTTGGAATCATACCATGCGCCATATGAAACTCCTTAAAGAGGGGGGTTGAATACGGGATTATATAGGGGACTACTATGGGGGTATAAAGGGGATTAAAGGGGATGATTATAAGAGCTAATAAAGGGGGATACTAGGAGTTTAGACTATAGCTCATATCTGAAACAAGCGTTAGGCTAATCTCCCAGCCTTTGTCGCCTGCTCGCTTCCATGGCTCGCAGCAAAACTGCTGCTACCCTGCAGAACCATTGCCTTGCGCTGTGCAAGCATGTTGCTTCTCCCCTGGGCTGACTATAGATGGCTGCTGATTCAGGTCCCGACTTTCTGCCATAGGCCTTCGGCCCCCAGCGCACTCATCAAGGGGCTTAAGACCTCCGCAGAGGCTGCATCGATACAGGCAGCCCGTGTTGATATTTGATACTTCCGTCTCGTGCCCCCCAAACATGCGTCGCGGGTGGTTGACAAGATCAACAGGTTTAGAGATACACGGGGCATTGAGTAGGAACTGGTCTGCTGGCAGCTCTTTCGCCCCACTGAATCCTGCTAGATAAACTCCAGTCTCATCTTTGCTGCCTCCTCAGAGCGGATTCAAAAACTTGAGATTTGACAAGATCTAATACAGCCATGATGCCACCGTTGCTGAATTCCCACTCACTTTGGGAACAGTCATGGGCTCATGGATCTGACATGCTTCACAAACTTACGGGTTGTTGGTAGGGAATACTTGGAGGGTCAGGGGGACTGAGTAAGTAGGTTAATATACTAATAATGGAAAAGAAAAGGGAAACTACTATAGTATTTAGGGTTTAGGGTTTAGGGTTTGGGGTTTAGGGTAAGGGGGACTTAGTAAGTAGGTTAGTAATGGGGATAAGTGGGGTTACTATATGGCTCATTAGGGTTAGAAGTATACTTACTAAGTCCCCTTTGACCCTCCAAGCAAGGGAATATGATCCTTACATCATCCGTCGAGGAGCTCCAGTACTACAGAATTTGACGGACATTAACATTGACATTATGGGCTCCTTATTAGGGATTTTAGTAGGGACTGTACTGAACTACACGATAAATCCCTGTGTCCACTCTTAAGCCTTTTTTGAAAGCCTGAAATTAGCAGCAGCTAATATACTGTATTCCCACATGCTAGTTTCCCAAAATAAGGGGACCCCAACATAGACCCCAATATACGCTAATACTTTATTAAGGGGGCCCTCAAAAAAGTCCCCCTAAGTTTGGGAACTTCCCATGTTCCCTACTAACAGCCAGCAAGCAAAGGCCTGGTTGTCGGGGCGCAGCCCGGCGGACCGCGCTGCCGTCAGCCTGGAATTGGACGAAGATGCTGGGTTACATTGGGGTTATATTGGGATAATGGAAGATAACATGGAAACTGCTATTATGGTCCCCCTAAACCCTAAACCCTTAAGTAGATAGAATCTGGGGTAAACGGAGTTCTTTATAGAATTAAAGCATCTCGAAGCCCTATTCTATCTACCTAAGGGGGACTATAGGCTTGACTTACTGGTTCTAAGTAGGGAATAAAGGGGAGTATAGGGTTCAGGATTTAGTGTGCTTTGGGGTTATGTAGGGATAATGGAAAAGAAAGTGGAAGCTACTACACTGTCATGGGGTATATATTGAGGTTCTAGTAGGGAATATGTGAATATATTGATGAGGGATACTTGGGGTTTGTAAAGGGATTCTATGCCCTTTTCCCCTACCCCGTAAGTTGATGAATGCCAAAAGCGGCTTCATGGGTCAGAAATCATAACAAGAACAATACGGAGTAATTAGTGGATCATGGAGAGTAAGCCGAACAAATGAGAGTAGCAGAATCCGCCTTGGCCCTGCTCAAAAGGCGTTCAGAGTCTGCGTAGAGTCTCCTAGTCACGGTCGTGTCCCTGGCACCGTCTAGCACATCACGGCCTCACCGAGGAATTTGGAACAGTGCTCCCCTCTCTCACCGCCACAGCCGTCACCACTGTGACCGCCCCACCCTCAGCCCTGGTTCCGGACATAAGGCTCACTGAACCCCCACCACCACCACGACTGACGCCGCCGCTGCCCCCACCCACACCAACACCAGCGCCGCCGTCTGGCGCCGCGACGACGTCTTGTTTAAATAGCATTTACTGGCTGCGTTATTGAGAAGGCAAGCGTCGACGATGCTGGAAACAGTGCTGCAGGATGTGCTTAAGACGGCAGCCCAGAAATTGTCCTACCACATCACACCGTTGCACGTCACTCCGAGGTGGTCAATCCCAACAGAGCTTAAATTTCTCAAGGCGATATGACCTGGTGTTGCAACCACGTACAAAATCTGGTTCCCACTGGAAGCTACAGGCACCCTTTCAAAACATACCATCACCCCTTTGGAGATCCCCATTTCTGCCCTTCCCAAAATGATGATCCAAGGCTGCTGCAAAGAAAAGGCTGCTGCCCACCTTTGATCCACTTTCAAACACTGGTGAAGTTTGTAGTTTAACAGGTAGTTGTACTGGTTTTCGCAAATATAATTATACATGATCTAGTTCTACCTTGTGTGCTCTCCTACGAAAACCCAGGCACAGGCAGAGGTTCTGCTTGCTGATTGCAGCGACCCCCAAAGCAGCAAACAGTTGGAGCGCCTTACTTTCTGCGGTCCTGTGGTGCGTAGTATACAGGGTATAGGGACCGCCATCATCCATGCTAATCACCAGTAAGTAGCTCAGACGAGCTTGAATTCAAAAGAAGTTGAGTCTACTATCAATCACTTGTGCAAAGCGTTGGAATCTGACCTGGTTCAATCGCTGCGGCGGAAGAAATGGTCAGCATATGCAGGCTCGGCTGGCAGAAATGTAGGCGCCATCATATAGTATACTATACTATAATACATACTACAGTATACTATAACACACTATACTATAATATATCTTGTATACTATATATAATACATAATATAATACGAAGTCGAGCGAACGTGGAGCGGATTTGAGCAGCACTAGCACCCATCAAGCTCCGCTGGACATACTAGCGGCGGTCGAATGAAGTGTTGGTCGCGGGACGCTTAGCAGATGCTTCGTCACCAACCTTCCCAGCAAAGAATCTGAACTGCCCTGTCCCTCATGCACCTGAAGCAAACTTTAATGGCGTCAAGCACTGCAGGCATGGTCGCAGTAACATGCTGCCATGATGCTGAAGGCTTCGGTCCAAAGCACTGAGTACAGCCTTGCAGCCACTGAAATGTCTACGCAAAGCTGTCAATGCTCTTTCTGATGCAAAAGGGCCACACATGTTGTACCTGCATTGCAAGGCAAGCAGAATACGAGACGCTGATGCGACATGCCAAGGTTCTTTTTCTTCGGATGTCTAAAGGATTCGACAGTGCAGCGAACATATCATCGCCATAATTCCTGTTCACGCTTGGAGAGCCCGACAGACCTTTAACGTGTGCCAGTCCCACCCAGCCCGTGCAAGGAAATCATGAAGCTAAGATGTCGCCTAAAGTGATGACGGACAGCTAAGTCCGTAACTATGCACAGCCTCCGTTGCAGGCCGCGCTGCCAAAGAAAATTCCCGCGTTCACGGGCAATACTTGCTCAGGAACCCAAGCAAGACCTTGCTGCCCTCTTCAGACTGGTAGAAGTTGTAGCCTTCGCTCCTGTTGCGGCCTTGGGTCTTGAAGGGAGGTTCCTGCCTTGGTCCCAGGAAATGAAGCTCGTTGCGGTTTCGTGATGCTTCATCCATGCCCTTGCCAAACTCCTCAAAGATCTCGGGCGCCCCACGCTCGTGGTAGTCCTGCGGGTCGTGAAGGGCGTCACAGTACAGCACGGGCACCTTCACGTCCTTGGCATACATCTTGGCTGACATGCGCTCAACTTTCATGTTGATGTCAGGGAACTTGATTGTCTTGGCGTGCTTTGCTTGGTTCTCCTGAAGGGCCTCGTTCAGCAGCTGCACGTTCCCAAGTCCAAAGAAGAAAGGCCGGTCAGCGAACATGACTGGGCCATGGAAAATATTGGTTGTGGCCCAGGCTGCAACGTTCTTGAATTTGTCAGGGTACAGGGAGTTGGCCTTCATGAACGCGACCCCAGACACGCAGAAGGGCAACAATGCAACTTTGCACTGCTTCAAGACTGTGTGTGCATTCACCCAGTCCATGACCCCAGCGCAGTCCATGAACTCCGTCTCGCCAAAGCCTGCTGGCAGACGCCTCTCCGAATCTCCATGATTGCGCAGGTCATAGGCCACGACATGGAAGCCGGCATCATACAAGACCCTCTGCAGCTTTACGTAATCGATAGGCTGGACGGGGACGGCGCCATGTCGAACGTGGTACACACATCCAGACTTGTTGGCACAGGCCCAAGACTGGTGGCCTACAATTGCCAGCTTCTTGGAGGACGCATCCTTAGCTGGGATATACCATGCCGCAATCTGACATCCATCAAGAGCAGGAAATCGGACATCCTCGAAGCTCATGCCGTGGTCCTTCGGGGTACGCACCATCTTGGTTGCCAATTCACCATCCCAGGTGGCATCCATGATCACCGTGGCCAGAAACCTGCATGGTCAAAAACTCGTATACTATAGTATATTATGGGAGATTATGGGATATTATGGTATATTTAAAATTTTAACATATTATAGTCCATGGAAAGAGTTGGGGAGTTTTGGTCAAGCCTCTGGCCTGTTCATGCCAAGGTAATGCGCCAGCCGCTGTGGCCCCGTGGGTTTGCTGTCAGCACCCTTTGGGGGAAAGCATGCCTTGAAGCTGCCCTCGAAGCAGCAGCCAGCCAAGCAGCCCCAAACAGAGTTCATGTCTGCAAGCTAAGGGAGGGGGGAGGGCGGAAAAGCGCTGCTTCGGGCAAGAAAATTCTTGGTGACAGAGGCATTTGTTGGCACATGCTAGGACCGTGTAACATGCAGGTGCTACATACTGACACATGGCACTGAGCTCCCAGCGCTGCAACAGACTAAGGCCCCTGAGCTTAGCTGCAATAACTGCCTGCTTGACCTCGGCATGCCAACCATGCAGCACCTACAAGCAACTGCAGAAGTCTCTTTGAAAAAATCGCGCTCTAGAAGAGAAGCGTGCTGCGCAGCTCATGAGCACCCTTAACGTATGCTGTAGGACCCAGGCAGTAGGCACAATGCCAAAGTCCAACGCAGTCCTTTCGCACAGGCCTGCACTCAATTCAGGATGGGCGTCACAACACTTATCATGCCAGCGGTGCAGACGAGATGTAATCTGTCAACATCAGAGTGGCTGGCGGCTACAGCAATGGAATGCATCGTCAGGTTTTTTTTGAGAATCACGTCATGTACGTCAAGCTACACACTGGCATGGACACTGAGTTGTACGCATGCTGGCGTCATAATCTGCAGCGAATTATTCCCCAGCAGTCTGCGCGCCATCAGGAGTGCCCCCTGGCTGTAGCCATCCAGCGAAGTCCGTAGCAGCGACCTTAAGATGTTGGCACCGTCCGCGCTGCCGACTTCTTGCGCATTAGGTCTCGCTGGTTCTTAGTAGGGAGTAAGGGAATGTAATCCCTATATAACTCCTATATACTATGTTCCCATATTTTCAGTAAGTAATTCAGGATGCGTAAACCACATCAACTGACGTGCCGCATGAACTCCTACTAACAGTAATCGAAATAGTAATAAACATTTAGTATGCATACTTAGTAGTAACGGTAGTAATGTTAATGGTATGGGCTTGCTCGGCTGCGGCTGCACCTACCCCACTTGCTTGCCACATTTATTGCTGCTTCCAGGACCCTTCTTGTAGCCTGAAATGGGGTTATATGGTCTCTAAAAGTGGTATTTAGGATATATGGAGGGTACATGGAGGGTCTGGGTTGGGAGCTAATTTTGAAGAGGGTCGGGATTCGGGATCTGTGCGGGGCAAGTGGCATTCGGCCGGCCAAGTGCATGGACCGCTCCCACTCCTGTCCTCAAAGCCATGTGCAAGCACTACTTGGAGGGTCCGGGGGACGAAGTAGATTAATGATGGGGATAATTGGGGTTACTATACGGCATAAAGGGGTCAAAAGCATACTTACTACGTCCCCCTGACCTCCAAGTAGTGGCCTTCTGCAAGCCCCGCAAAGCACAGATGAGCTCAGGTGTGCTGGCAAGCAAGCGACCGCTTTTGTACACATGGCTTCACCTACGTGACCTACACGAAGTTCGTATGGTAGCCATTATAGCCCTAGGTGCATCACAGAAGCGCCAGACTTGATTCAGACTTCGGCGAGCTCGTATCTTTGTAGAAGTACATGTGACATTCATCATGGATCTCCATCAAGCCCGGCACAGCTTTCCAACTTTCAACTGGCCAACTTCACAGGCTTCTGAGGCAAGTAGCTTTCGGAGTTTCATGTTCTAGTGACGCCTGGACAGCGGTTGGCCAGTCAGTTGCCAGGAATTGAAGACAACCGAAAGCATAGGAAGAATGGAGCACCCGGGGGCTGGCAAGTTGTGCTCAAGCGGATGTCACGCTATACCTCCCTGGGTATCAGCAGAAAAGTTACAGCTAAAGATTGCTGTTGGGCTGGTCTCTGGAAGTGAGCCATGTGAGCCATAGCTTAAACTACACCAACCCCTATCGTAATCCCTTATATAATCCCCCAAATTACCCCTATAGTAGTCCCCTTTTATATATATATAGTCCCCTTAATAACCCCTATAATAGTCCCGCATATAATCCCCTTAATAACTACCTTTAAGGAGCTTAGATTATGGCTCGAGTGTGAGGGCTTGTTCTGAGGCTGGCCCAGGCAAGGCTCTGCGTTTGGCAGCCGTGTGAACTGCAAGCCGCCCATTGCCTGTACCGCAAGGATCCCGCAGTGAGCCACTTAGGGTTTAGGGTTTAGGGGTCTAGGGCTTAGGGTTGCGGAGTGCTTTTGCTGCGATGATTCCGTCCATTCGCGGGCTTTGCTGACAGCAATGCACAACCGACATGCAAGCAATTAGTTGCAATTGCCATGTCCAAAAATTGCCCGTCCTCAGCAATCTCTCAAGTTCATCTGAGCCATTGTCTAAACTCCTAGTATCCCCCTTAATAACCCTCATAGTAGTCCCCTATATAATCCTATATAACCCCCTTTAAGGAGTTTAGACTATAGCTCATCTGTCTTATCTCCATGCTGCAGCTGTGGGCTTGCTGCTCAAACTCGCCCGCATGTCGTGCTGAGGGGTTGGCTCCCGTGATGGTGTCGCAGACTCATGATCTATGTCATTCAGGAGACTGATGATCTATGTCATTGAGAACAAGAAGTATTTGGTAGTTTCCCAAAATAAGGGGACCCCAATTTTGACCCCAAAATACTATAGTCCTTATTATGGGTACCCCCTAAAGGGTGCCCCTAATTTTGGGAAACCCCCATTTCAGAAACATAGAGCCAGCCCCTCTAAAATCTGCGGGAAGAGAAAGCAGGCTCAGCCTCAAACAGCGAACATGGAAGATCAGCATGCTTCAGTGTTGCTGCCCACAGCCAGAGCAAGGTTTGTTTGTAAGGGTAACTATAGTTGTTGACCAGTTGGCAGAAAATTTCTGAAAATGCTCAGGCGATGGGCACGTACTATAGAAGAGAAGCCTATGGTTCTATGTCTTTCCCCCCATATCCTGTCAATCAGCCTTATCTACCCACGTAGACTAGTACCCCCTATATTCCGTAATAATCATCATATCCTCAGAACCCCAAGAGAGGACCCCTGATCGTGAGAAGCCCACACCTGTAGCCCTGGAGCTGCAAGCCAAGACCAGGTGCATGAGCACTCTCAGAGCCCTTCACGCTGACAGGGGCAGCACCTCCAAGATAGGTTGGCACAAAAACACACACACAGATACGGTAGTTTCCCTAAATAAGGAGACCCAATATAGACCTCAAAATACTATAATCCTTATTGTGGGACCCCTAAAAAGGTAGCCCCAGTTTTGGGAAACCCCCATACTTCCTGTAATAGGTAGGGGAAGGAAACGGGGGAGGCTGTTGACAGGTTTCGCAAGTCGCCCATTGACTTTCCCAGAATAATCTGATCAGGGTGAGCTGCACCAGCGGACAAGCGACTTTCAACGCTGAATCTGCCTCGGCAAGAACAGAGGTAGTTCAAGATGCGCAGCAGTAGCAAGGATGAAAGACATCCAAGGGCCTATCGCCATTCTTCATACCTGTGGCTTGTGTGATAGAATTGGAACTCTGCACAATCCAAAACAGCAAAACTTCGATCCTTCAGGTGTTGTGCACTTAATCGAACTTCTCTCGTAAGAGCATGTGCGCCCGCAATCTTGGGCAATGCACGTTGTTAGAATCATGTTTATCTTGTTTTGGATGCTGCCCTTTCAATGAACCTCAGCCCCTCAGACTGGATTCATCACACTCCAGGCCGTTCAATCCCTTCATATGGCGATGCCAGATACAGAAGAGAGTGACATTCTACACTCGCCACGTCTTGACCCTTAACCCGACTTTGCTCCTGCTCTCGCGCTTGCAATGTTGCATGGATTGCACCCTGACCTGCGCCGCAATTCCTCTGTTTGCCTGAGAATCTGTGTCAGCTGCGCCGAAGCGGTCGGAATAGTCTTCTTGAAATCGCAAGGAACAATGTCTGGTGACCTTCCCATGCCTTTCCCTGGGTACTTGCAAGTGCACAGCGTGGAAGGACTGAACCATCATGAAGCAGTAATAATCATCATCCTTCTCATCAGTATCATCATCATGATAATGATGGCGGAAGGATTGATGTCCAGCATGCGGAATCTGGGTTCTTGCTGAAATGCTATTTAAAAAGATCATTTTTTATTTGATATTGGACCCAGGTATCCATAAGAATGTAAAAATTTTGTTCTACAAGAGCCCAGTAATGTTGGGACCCCCAGAATGGTACCCCCTAATTTTGGGAAGCCCCCATTTGTCTACAAGAGCCCAGGAAACCCTACCCTAAACCCTAAACCCCTAAACCCCTAAACCCCTAAACCCTAAACCCTCTACAAGAGCCCAGGAATTGATACTGCTGTTTCTTGCTTTCCCATCAAGGCCTCCAGGGCGGCACGGCGCACGTAGATGGACTCGTCACCTCAAAAGGGGTCACTGGAACGCAAGGACTACCTGAACCCCAAAAGCATGTAGAATAATGGCCTTTTGGGCTAGATTTAAGGGTTTTAGGCTATTATGTTACATAACGGGGTCCAGGTACCTGGTGCTCAGTAGGAAATGCGGGAATGGATCCTAATGGTAGTCCCCATCTCATTCCCCATCGTAGCCCGTGCCTAGAACCCATGTCCCTGTTCCGTATTCAGCACCAGGGAGACGATTTTAAGTCTCAGCCTCCCAGGGACGTGAACAATTTGATTTTGCCGCAAATACAATACACCAATGCAAGTGCAGGATGAAAGAACTGTTGCGGGCCATAGTCCAACTTAGTAACCTCTACAGTAGTCCCCTAAATGATCCCTTCTGTAACCCCCTTTAAGGAGTTTAGATTATGGCTTTTGTGACGTCACATGAAAGCTTGTTCTATGGCAGGACTTGGTCTTCGTCAAGCAAGCTTTCGTCAGTAAGGGATCCATTTCCGTCATCGCGCAAGTGCTGTCGCTATCAGTCGCTTTCTTGGCTCCCAGCCCATTAGTTCCCCAAGGGCCCCAAGAAGTAGTCTTAAAGTGGTCTTCCACTTTCGGGCGTCTACATCGGTAGCTTGCTTCATCGCATGCTGGGCAATCTTTGGCTAGCGGCGCAAGCCACGGATGAGGTAGTTCAGCGCACGATGGTCATCTGCCCAGAGACATGTGGCAATTTCCCTTCATAAGGAGACCCCAATATAGACCCCAAAATACTACAATCCTTACTATGGGGACTCCTAGCAAGGTACCCCTAATGTTGGGAAATCCCCATGCTGACGGGATGTATAAATGCTCCTTGCAGTCTCTGCTTGGCTCTACGACACGGACACAAGTTGAGGCAGCTTATATAAAATGAGCTATACATAATCTAAACTCCAAGTATCCCCCTGAAGAACCCCTATGTAATTCATTGCAATCCCCTATATAACCCCTTTAAGGAGTTTAAAACTCTAGCTTATATGATCTTTGCTCGTCCCCCCCCCCTCCCTCTGGTGCCTTCGCTGGCAACCTGGGCCAGCGCCCGGATGGCTTCCTCGCGGATCTCCACGTCCTGCAGTTCTTCGCGGTTTAGGGTTTAGGGTCAGGATCTAGGGTTTTGGGTTGCGTATATTGTCTTGTGGTTTAGTCTTGTTATTCACAAATTACAATTCTCGTATCAGCGTTGTTATTCTTGTTTATTAGTAGTATTTGTGTGGGTTCTGCAAACCTTCAACGTTTACTTGGAGGGTCAGTGGGACTTAGGAAGTATACTTCTAACCCTTTTAGCTACACAGTAACATCCAATCATCCCCATCATTAATCTACTGACTATGTCCACCTGACCCTAAACCCTAAAATCGAAATAACACAGTATTTTCCATGTTTTTCCCACTATCCCTATATAGCCCCATTATGGTGGTTTCCGTTTGCTTTTCCATTGTTAACCTACTTACTAAGAAAAGGAGACCATGGCTTGGCCTTTAGGGTGTTTGTTTGTTTTTTTTGCTATTGGACCTTTTCCGTAGGATTTAGGGTTTTGGGGATTAGGATTTAGGGAGTAGGGATTAGGATTTAGTTTAAGTAGGGTTTAGGACCGATGTCCACTGGAACGTCCGGATTTGCTGGATTTCAACTTGAGGTCAGTTAGCCTGGATCTAAGGGTTTCCCCCATGCATTCTTACTTTGTGGGCCCCTTGCTCTGAGCGACTTTGTCCCGGGCGTCTTGGAGACGAGCGAAAATCCTGCTATACCCTTAGTAACTTATACCTTGAGAATTTGAGTACGCTGAGGTCCATGCCTTGTGGTACGTGCATATTGGAAGTCCTTGTCGTCCACACGTGCAAGGATCATGTCGATGGCGGCTGCATCCCCTTTTGCCACCACGTGTGGCAATGCCTGACTAATCAAGCCAGGCACGAAAACCAAAAGATGCACACCAACATCAAACACNNCCCCCCCCCCCCCCCCCCAAACACACACCTAACATGTTAGATATTCCCCATGAGAGGCCTGACATATTGGAGGCCCTATTTAATAGTATACTTACAACCCCTGTAAGCCTCATACTGTCACTGATGTTCCCCAATCATTACCCTACTCAGTAAGTCTCCCCAAATCTGCAACTTGCAATTGACATGGTACTGTAATTACCATTCCAGCATGACACGCTTGGACCTCCAGTTCCCTGCACCACAATACCCAATACCCCACTTCTTTCCCTGCAAGGCGTCTCGGGCCTGCATCGCGGCGTGGCGGACTGCGAAAGCTGGGTTTGACAGAAGACCAGCAATGTGCTCCACAACCTCCTTGGAAGAGAAACCCTAAACCCCCCTTAAAACCTAAAACAATGTGCTCCACAACCTCCTTGGAAGGGAAATCCACAAGGGCTTGGAGGTGGTTGACTCCACTTGAAGTTGAGGCAAACTCTGAGGTTTAGGGTTTAGGGGGTTTAGGGTTTAGGGTTTTACGGGATGTCATTTAGACATTGCCCAGCAGCGAAAGAATGTTGTGTTCGGTCTACACGACTCCTACATGTGTGTGCTTGGGCAGCTGGTTTGCAGGGCGAACCTTGGATTGAACACCGTCCGTCTCTTCTTTCGTATAAGCCTTCGTTGCATGGACGAATCTCCGGATTTCCGTTGGATTCTCCATTATTGGGGTAATCCCTACATCATCTCCAAATACACCCGTGTAGCCCTATATAATATGCTCATAAGATCCCTACATTAAGCCAGGCGGTTGTAGCTTTAGGCCTTATAGCCTGTCCAGACACAGAAATCTGCGGCCCATCGTTTCTAATGAGTTGCATGCGGGAGTTTACGGAAACTAGGGACCTCGACTTGAAACACCTTCTACTAAGGATAATGACAGCATACTGGGGTCTACAATGGGGCCCCCTGTTTATGGAACCCCCATGTAAACTTCTTTCTTGAATCACTTTGACAGAGAGTTGGCTTTGGTGCTGCCCCTGTCCCTGTACACGCTCTACTGTGACGTGACAAGGCGCGTCAGAAACTCCCATAGATGTATGAGACCAGTAAGGGTTAGTTAAGGAAAAGAAACACATAAACCCTCTGTAATCCTATGTCCCTGCGGTTTGTGAGGGCTTTCAGCTTTTTGAACACCCACACATACAGAAATGCTCATACAAGCTGAAGCCCTACTAAATCCTGCGATTCATTTGCGAAGCTTGCGAGCCAACCGCTGTGAACATTTCAAGGAATGCTCCAACCTACTGATTCTTAGTAGGGAGTAAGGGAAGATAATCTCCATATAATTTCTAGAATTATCTATATTGGGATTATATAGGGATTGAATATCTCTATTTTGGGATTATACGAGATCTAATGTACCTATATGTACCTATATAATCATTATATAGGGATTCTATTCCCTTACTCATTCCCTACTAAGAGCCAGTACGCCAAGGAGTCTGAGGTGGTCACAGGATCGCCAGGGGCAACCATGCGCCGGAGGGCAGCGGACATCCTTACCATAACTCAGCTTTTGACACCATGAACCCTATAACCCTCATATGACCCCTATATAACAACTATGTAACCCCTATAAAACCCCAAAATAAGCCCTGCACAATCCTCCTTAGATCTTGTAGGGTGGTACAGTATGGGCTAGCAACTGGGGCTTTCGCGTTCAAGATTTGCTGATGTGCATTCTGTCTGCTAGCTGCCAAGACCAATCAAAAATCAAAAGGAGTTATAGCCCCCCTTAAGTAGATAGAATCTGGGGTCTATGGGGATCTTATTATAATATACCCAAAGCCATATTCTATCTACTTAAGGGACTGCACCTGTGTTCAGGTGCCCAGGGTCTCCGTCATTGCGGCGCCGCCGAAGGAGGCATCCTTGGAGGGGAAGCTTTCGAACAAGGCAACAGCGAAGGATCGGAGATGGGGCTCGTGCCTACTATTGGGGTAACATTGGGGTTGTATTGGGCCCTAAACCCCAAACCCTAAACCCAGTTCATAGTGGGGTAACATTGGGGTTGTATTGGGGTCATACCCTAAACCCTGAACCCTAAACCCGATATTGGGTCATATTGGGGGAACATTGGGGTTGTATTGGGCCCTAAGGCCTAAACCCTAAACCCTAAACCCAGGTCATATTGGGGTGATATTGGGGTTGTATTGGGGTAATATTGGGATGATATTATGACAGGAGCTAGATCTGGATGATATCCTACTCCCGGTGACTGGAAGTAACATGCACGGGGACAGCAAGCCGTAGTTGGAACTTGCTACCGCCTTTTTTCAGATATGAGCTATAGTCTAAACTCCTAGTATCCACCTTAATAACCCCTATAACACTCCCCTATATCATCCCCTAAATAACCCCCTTTCAGGAGTTTAGACTATAGCTCATATCAGATGTCAATACTCGCAAGCGCGAAGGGTCTAAGGGTCATGCTCGCAAGCAGGCCAACAGTGAAGCCAGCACATCGCGGTCCTTCACAGTTTCATGAAGGTACAATATAGGGATAATGGAAAATGGAAACCCTAGGTCCCTTTAAAGGGATATATAGGGTTATATGGGGGTATATTGGGGTATAATATAGGGATAATGGAAAAGAAAATGGAAACTACTACATTATATTGGGGCAATCCTCATTTTCATGAAGGTACTAAAATGGGCTATATAAGGATTATAGGATACATATTAGGTGTATAATTTCATAGGGATACTATAAAAGAAAATGGAAATTACTATATTCTATTGGGGTAATATTAAGGTTTGCGATTGGACCAAAGGCAACCCACAGCACCTAACGGACCTAATGTGGCTTGCTGGCTGCAAAGGATAATTAAACCCTAATATTACCCCTATATAATATAGTCTTTTCCATTTGCTTTTCCATTATCCCTATGTTATACTACAATTTAACCCTAATATTACCCCAATAGTCCTCGTGGCGTGCCACCCGCGCAACAGCTCTGACGGCGGCAGCACCTGTCTATCCGGCGGACGAGCACTGTGAAAGTGATCTCTCTTGTGAGAGGCTTTGCCGGGTGCAAACCATAGATGGGTTTAGGGGTTTTTGAGCCAGAGGACTTTTACGTCTGCCGAAGCACTGGTTGTTGGGAAGTGGGATCAATCTGTCTGGACTGCCACATCATGAGAAGCAGCAGCTTTAGATGCTCTGGGCTTTAGCAGAAGATATCCCACCCCAAGCCTGCAATGCAAAAGAAGACGAAAACCCTGGATGGACCCCAAACTGGGCATCCTGACGAGTGCATGCATCGCCGTTCTCGAGCCAGGGCAGCAAACTGCCGAGAGCAAGTCGATCCCCCTCCTCGCAAGGCCAAACTTTTAATGATCCATGCTTGGGGGTTCTACCTTACTAAACACTCACAATTTGAATAATGGAAAAGAAAGTGAAAGCTACTATAATGGGTTATATAGGGATTATAGGGTATATATTGGGGTATAATACAGGGACAATGGAAAAGAAGATGGACACCACTATATTATCTTGGGGTTATCTTAGGGTTATATACAAGACCTAGTAGTAGATTCCGTTCCATTTTCCATAGTGTTTTCCATTTGATTCTCCACTTCCCCCTCTACCATAGGGGGTCTCAAGGTCCCAAGAATACTCAGGATATCCGATTCCATTCCCTAAGCCCTAAACCCTAAACCCTAAACTTGATGCCCTGAGACGATACCGCTGCGCAGCACGCCTTTGAAAACCGAGCGATCTTTGCCAGGGACTGCTGCACAGGCAGGAAGTTCCTGACATACCTGTTCGCAGGCTACTATAATGGGTTGTATAGGGATTATAGCGTACATATTGGGGTATAGTCACTTGGGATAATGGAAAAGAAAATTGGAACTACTATATCATATTGGGGTGATTGGCAGCTCTATTCCCACTGCAGCGACCATTCTCATGGCGTCGCATACGGGCCACCGTCCAAAGCTGAGCTATGCACCTTTGTCGTGGAGGGGGACACAGGCGCCGGCTCACCTCGCCACAGCATGGCAGGCCAGCGTATTTGTCAAGGACGTTCCGCACACCCCGCATCCTATCTACATAAGCAACAGCAAAAACTCTCAACAAAAGTGCGGGATGAGCCCCACATGATTGGGGGCAGTTCGAGACCATTCCATCTTTTGCAACCTGCAAGGTACGTATGAGAAGTCCAGTTGCATGCCCATCGTCACTGAGCCGAATTTTTGAGCCTGCCAAGTGCGGCAGCAATGGACCATGATGCGCGCTCATTGGGGTAAGTCTGCATCTTCCACTGCTACAACCTCATCAGAGAATTAGCAATACAACCGGAACAGGACATCGCAACTCACGGGGGCCGTGTCAAACTGGATCCAGCTGCTATTACTATTACCATTGCTGTTACTATTACTATTAGAACTGTTATTTCTATGACTATTACCCTAAACCCTAAACCCTTACTATTACTAGTACTATTAGGATCATTATCATTATTATTAATAGTGCTCTCACCGTTGCCTGCAGGTCGCTTGACAGGAGCTCTCACCTTGCAGCCAAGGTAGCCCGTTGAACCGAAAAGGCGCAGAAACTACTACAGTATAATAGGGTTAAAAATGAGGTTATTAGGGATTATATTGGGATAATGGAAAAGAAAATGGAAACTACTATAATGGGTTATATAGGGTATACATTGGGGTTATTAATAGCGATAATGGAAAAGAAAATGGTAACTACTATACT